CTTCCTCACCTGAAAACAAGGCAAAATTAAAGTTGAAAAAGTCGGAAGAATAAAATGGTGAAGTGTTTTGTATTTAATCCCCTTTGGTTGTCACGTCTGTATCCTGCTGTGTTAATGCTGCAGTCAGCATTAGCACTGAAATTTGGAGAAGTGGAAAAGGTGATCAGGTAAGAGAGAACTCAGTGTCCGTCGGAACGGACTGGAATAATCATTGCAGGTGTATCCTGAACTGCCCAACAATAAGCGGTTAATCAAGCTGTGAATAGTGATACTGACATCAGCAGAGCTGTCCCATAATGGCAGATAACAGCTGGCTTTTATAAGGTATTTTTTATGAAAGCAAGAATATTCTACAATGTTACCATCTAAATTCTGTAAATAAGAGCTGAAATCTGAGTTAATGCTGCTGTGTTTTATTCCCTCCATGGCATTGGTAGTGAAATGTTCTACATTTCAATAAAAGGCACAAGAAGTGTAAAATACTTTTATTTTACGCACCTGTCTTTTTGTATGTATCAGTCCGTGTATACCACTTATGTTGCATTTCATTAAAGGCTGTATGAGTTTTGTATAAACGTTAATCTTTATTGGGCTTTTATTCCGTGGTTTTGTTCGGATGCACGGAAACACTTTTGCCTCCCTGTTGTCATATTTGGGACAGCCTGGAAGCAAAAGAAAACGTGTGAACTGTTAACAACTTTGAGCTTTGGTCTAATAAAGACAGGTATTTTTAAGAGCTGCTTTTTTTGTTTTTTTTTTTACTGGGGTCTGTATGTCTTGCTGAAAGTCTAGGTATTTAAATTAAATTTAAATAGGTATTTAAATTTTAAATAAGTATTTAAATAGGTATTTAAATTAATCATGCTGGAGAGCTCCTCTCTTCCCAGGGAGAGCGCTCCAAGCAGGTTATGGAAGTTGATTCTATAGAATCAACTTGAGACCCCACCTGGAATACTGCGTTCAGCTCTGGAGTTCCCAGCACAAAAAGGACATGGAGCTGCTGGAGCAGGTCCAGAGGAGGCCACAAAGATGATCAGAGGGCTGGAGCACCTCTGCTATGAAGACAGGCTGAGAGAGTTGGGGCTGTTCATCCTGGAGAAGAGAAGGCTGCGGGGTGAGCTTATAGCAGCTTTCCAGTACCTAAAGGGGGCCTACAGGAAAGCTGGAGAGGGACTTTTGACAAGGGCGTGTAGTGATAGGACAAGGGGCAATGGCTTTGAACTGAAAGAGGGCAGATTTAGATTGGATCTAAGGAAGAAATTCTTCCCTCTGAGGATGGTGAGGCACTGGAACAGGTTGCCCAGAGAAGTTGCGGATGCCCCATCCCTGGAAGTGTTCAAGGCCAGGCTGGATGAGTCTTTGGGCAACCTGGTGTGGTGGAGGGTGTCCCTGCCCCCATGGCAGGGGCGTTGGAACTAGACGATCTCAGGTCCCTCCAACCCAAACCATCCCATGGTTCTCATTCCCCTGGAATCGCGGCCGCGGGCGGAGCTGCGCTGCTGGCCCGCCCTGCGCATGCGCGGCCGCATGAGCGGCCCCACGCGCCGCCCAAGTCTCGCGAGAGGCAGGTGGGGCGCGGCGGTCCGTGAGGCGGCGTTGGCGGGATGGGGCTGCTGG